TAAATCTGAGCTAGAAGCTATTTTGGTATACATTGTACTCTTCATGGACTTTTTATTCCTTCACTGCATCTTTGTTTTTGGTATCTGCAAATTTATCAGACCTTAGACAAAACCATTACTTGGACTACTTTTCTCCTTGGTGCCACTGTGAGCATTTTCGTCCTTCCGGACTACCTCCTAGTGTTGGCGTGTGCTTTCCATACGTATGTGTTCTATTCGTGCATTTAACAGATTTCCTCGCAACAAATTAACAATAGAAATGTATACAAATAAAAGGTAACATATACTCAATGGTCTGTTACAATTTAACCATTTCATCACCACAACTTTTAGATGGATAGTATTTGTAGTAACGTTTTTTTTCAGTTTTACTTGAAATCATATTACCATGTAAAATAATCTGGATTTAATTTTTTTTATTCAATATACAGTCTCATTTTATACCTTGTTTTCAGGATCTAAAGCAATGCCATTTAACGATAATACATTTCACAGCACAATTCAAAATTCTTTTGTTTTGTAATTGTCCTAAAGAGGCTCTTCCCAGGACTCCTAAGATCCTGAGAAAAAAGTGACAGTGACTTCATTGGAAGATGAAGGATCAAAAAGAATGAGTTCTGGGAATTAAACTGCAAATCGTAGAAGCAAATCTGTATGGTGAACTCATCTGAGATACGCATTATGACAATGCAGTAGGATACAATCTATATAATTGGAATGGAAAAGTCTGCTGTGCTTGTTGGGAGAAAGTAAACACTAGATCAGTGATAGCTAACCTTGACACCATAAATTGTTTCTGGACTACATTTCCCATAATGCTCAGCTAGCCTTTATAGTCTAAAAGCTAGCTGAGCATCATGGGAAATGTAGTCCAGAAACAATTTATGGTGTCAAAGTTATCCATTACTGCGCTAGATGGACACTTTAAACTAGTAAAAGGGACATAGAAGGATAAATGAAGTAGACCGTAGAAATTGACATTTAGAATTGTTGATTAAAAGAGAAATCAAATTGCCACTTTCGAGTCAAAACAGAAATGTTAACTTATACGACTATACATCTATATCTTCAAGGATAATAAACTTACTACATAGGGGGAGACCTGCATTGCCATCTGTTGCTCATTTGCGGTTCCTTCATTAACACCAGAAATGCAAATGTTTGGTTGATACTGGTATTGCCTTGCCTTACTGACTTCTGGCTAACTTCTCTACTATGCAACCAGCACCCAGAGTTGCATTATGATCATACCGTTACAATATACTTGTTTACTCAACCAGCCACGCTTCCTCAAAGATATTTGTTTAGAAGTAGATTCACAGATGAGGACAGAAGCCTGAATAATAACTTTTACATTTTGCTGTCCTCACTTCCATAGGAGAACCATAATTGCAATGTATTTGCACCTTACAATGTATTTTAGCTTGAATTTTATAACAAGACACGGAGGCTCATATTGCATATCCCTTTCTTTACTGTCCACCAATAGCAGCAAAGAATACAAACAGAATGAAAAAATAATGAACATCCAGTAACATAGGCCCCTCCCCGCTCAGGTCCCAGTATAATAGGCAGCACTTCCCTTCCATTTCCCTCTTTCTTTGCTGCTCCGACACAAAGATAAGTACATGTCACTTTTTTCTCTTCATATTTTCTATTGTACTGTTTTTTTCTCATTTATTTTATTATACAGTTGCTTACTGGTAACTGGTAATATTCTGTATTATTATTATATTGTTTTACATTTATTTTATATATTTATTTTATATTTATCTTCATATCTAGTATTATATTGTTTTATTATATTTGTATGTTTTTATCCTGCATTGTTTTTCAGTGCACTGTTGTTTCTCACACTTACCCAGGGTCCAGACCTCCCATGTCACTCTATATTGCTGTATTCTGTCCTCCTCTCCTTCCGTCCTCCCTGCCCTCAGCGCCATTTTGCGCACGTTTTCCCCCTACCCGGCTGTGTATGTGCACGAATTAAGCCTATTTGGCTGACTCGCCACGCATACATGCTATTCTCCATTCGGCAGACAGCGCGTTCACATGTTTGTCGCATTCGATTTTTTTCATGCGAACGGCCCGTTCGCCTACTCTATATTCTCTCCCTATACTTACCTATCTGGTTCCCGAATTCACCTTTTCCTACCGAACGTTCGTTTTTTTGCAGCGAATCTCGCGGATGCTGTGAATCCCGTGAGATTACTGGCGGCCATTTTCAGACTTCCTGTCTTCTTTCCTACCTTGCATCCGAGTGTGCCACTGGTCTGGGCCCTGGTGAGAGCGTTTTTTGTTTGGCTATTGCTGTTTGGGTGACTAACCCATACTATTCCTGCTACTTGTTAGGTAATATTCTCTAGCTATTCTAACATGCCTAAACCCAGACTATCTTCTGGGTCCACTCCCTCTGGGGAGTCTGATACCCCACTCATTAGGAGTGAGGCCCCTGTCACCTCAGGCAATTCGCCCACTATGACAGACGAACTACCCACCCTGATGGGGCACAGTTCCTAGCGCTACAGCGCTCGGTGACAGACGCCATTATGGCGGCCAGGGGTCTATGTCCTCTACCCTCTTCCACACCATTTCACAGGCCCTCCTGCCACGTCCTTCGGACGAGCAATACTCGGGCTCCTCAACGCCTTTAACGCGTCCCACTGTGAACCCTCAGGGAGAGATATATAAAAAGGCAACTCATAAGTCCCTCTGCCTCCAGAAACACCATGACTGGCGTACCTACGGTCGCCCCAGAAAGCGTGTCCCATCCACGCAAAAGAGCGTTTCCGCGCCAGGCAGAACGGGCGCGGCTATGGAAATGTGCCAGAGCACAGAAATCGGGTCAAATGAGGAGGCTAAGATTGAGTCGGACAGTGACTCTGATGCGGATGCCGCTGATACAGGCTTTGACCTCCTTTCCTCTGCTCAGGCAAAGACGCCTAGAGGCAATACAGGGATCAGGAACCCCTCGGCCGCGGGGTCAACCCTTGTGGATACGTCGGGTGTCCCACTCTTCGACCCGGATGACCTACACCATCCAAGAGTGGCTCCCGGCCGACCATGTTGCCACATATTTGGAAAATTGGGTCAGACGACCCCTGAGTAAAGCGGCCCGCAACAAATTGAGGGCAGAGTGTCCTAGGCCTGTGGTGCCTAATAAAGTTTGCGACACTCCTGAGGTAGACCCCAAGATGACCCAGTTCCTCACCAAATTGGGCTGGAACCCCCGTAAGGGGCTGGAATCTGCATTAAGGTCCTGCCAGGACAAACACCTGGACATATTCGGCCCTTTAGCCAAATTATTTGACTTGGCGGAAGATGCCAGAGCGGAGAACCGCATGGTTTACCCCGAAGACCTATGTGGTTGGGTTCAGAGAGCAATATGTAGTATTGCCGGGAGTGTGAATACCTCCCTATCAATAGAACGGCGCAAGGCCATACTATTTAAAATTGAGCCTAAACTGGCCAACCTCGCCCTCACAGAGGCGGGCAAGGACGCCCAAGGATTACTCTTCAGAGACTCCTTTATTAAGGATTTATGGCGTTTTGTTGGAGCTTTCACAGCCCTAGATAAGGCCCAGGCCTCCATGAGACAGGTGTTCCAGGGGTGGGTCTCCACCAGGGCCGGCAGATTTAGGAGCCGTCTGGCCGGCCGCAATTACCCCCAATCCTGTGGCACGGGAAGAGGCTCCTTCCAACAACGTACGCAGTACCAGGAATCTAACTCCCGCCCCACATTCTTCCCATCACGCGGATGTCCATGGCGATCCAGAGGTTTTTGGGGCAACTCAAGTTCAAGACGACCATAGGGTGAGTTACCTCATACCTCATACTTCTTCTCTATGTTGTGTAGGGGGCAGACTCCAACGTTTTTTTCCCAGCCTGGTAGCAAATAACATCAGACCCATGGGTGCTGACCACTATTCGGGGCTTCCAAATAGAACTCATAAACCATCTGATACACATTCCCCCTCCTCGACTGATCTGCTTTTCACTCCAGGATCGCAGACGGATCGACGAGGAACTCTCCACTCTCCTTATCAAAGGGGCTATAGAACGAGCACCTCTCAACCCCGCAGGTGTCATAAGCAACATCTTCCTGGTGGAAAAGAAAGGCGGTCAATTGAGACCCGTCATAAATCTGCAACCCCTCAATGCCATAGTCAGGTACCACCATTTCAAGATGGAAGGTATTCACCTACTAAGAGATCTTCTCCTCAACAGAGACTGGCTAGCGAAGCTAGACCTCAAGGACGCGTACCTGACGGTGCCGATAGCAGTGACATCTCGAGACCTCCTACGCTTTCACTGGCGGCATGAGACTTGGCGGTTTACCTGCCTACCCTTCGGCCTCTCCTCAGCGCCGTGGTGCTTCACGAAGCTACTACGGCCTGTGATGGCCTGGTTACGCAGTCGGGGAGTCCGGCTAATCGTTTACCTAGACAATATTCTCCTCATAGCTCAGGAGCGTTCTACCCTCCTTACACATCTACGACTGGCCATAAGCCTCCTTTCCTGCCTAGGTTTCATTATCAACTGGGAAAAGTCGTGCCTAACCCCCGCCACTCACATGGAATTCCTAGGATTCCTTGTGGATTCAGGGGAAGCGACGCTGAGCCTCCCGATATCCAAGATTCGCTCCATCCGCAAGGAGTTACGCAGGGCCCTCATCCGGCCCCAGCTCACCTTGCGCTAGCTTGCACGACTCATCGGCCTACTGGCCTCCTCGATACAGGCTGTGTTTCCGGGCCCGCTCCACTACCGAGCGCTACAACGCCTGAAGATCGCTCACCTGAGAGCCGGTGCATCCTACGCGGACCTGATGTCACTGGACAGCGAGACGAAGGACGAATTGCGATGGTGGATTCTCAACCTGTCCGCTTGGAACGGCAAAGCCATCTTCGGCTCAATGCCAGAATTCACGTTCGACTCAGATGCGAGTCTCCACGGCTGGGGGGCTCACTGCGAGGGAGTCTCAACAGGGGGCCGTTGGTCATAATCCGAATCCCGGCTGTACATCAATGCGCTGGAACTCCTGGCAGGCTCCTTCGCCATCCGCAGTTTTGCCAGGGACCGAGCCCCAACATGCATTCGGCTCCGCATGGACAACGTCTCGGCGGTGAGATATGTCAACCACCTGGGTGGTTCACAGTCGGCAGTCCTGGCCAGATTGGCGAAAGACTTTTGGGAATTTTGCCTGGAACAGAACCTGATGGTCTATGCGGAATACTTACCTGGCCTGCACAACGTCCAGGCGGACTGGCGTTCACGGTATCTTTCAGACACCAGCGACTGGAGATTGGCCGAGGAGGTGTTCTTCAATATATCGTCTCTTTGGTTACCATTTACCATCGACCTTTTCGCTTCCCGGCTCAACGCCCAGCTGCCACGCTTCTTCAGCTGGAGGCCAGATCCAATGGCGGAGACAGTAGACGCCTTCCTGCAAGACTGGAGCGGAGGCCTCCTATATGTCTTTCCCCCGTTCTCCATGATCCTGCGCTCACTCCTGCAGACCCATAAACACCGGGCAGAAGTGGTCATGGTGACTCCCTTTTGGGAAACGCAGTTGTGGTTTCCCCAGATGCTTGAGATGATGATGGACTACCCCCAACTAGTGCCGGAGTGCCACAACTTGCTGCGGGACCCGATGGGACGGTGTCACCCCCTCCGGTTAGAAGGCTCTCTCCCACTCCTGGCATGGCGGATCTCCGGGGACCCTGGGAGATCCAAGGAGTTTCAGACACGACTAGATGTCTATTGGTGGTGGCATGGGCTCCCGGCACTAGACGGGCATATGGGTCAGCTTGGCGAGCTTGGGCTGGCTGGTGCATGGCTAAGAACACGGATCCCGTTTTGGCCTCTGTAACCATTGTCCTGCAATTTCTGACGTCCCTCTTCGAGGCTGGTAAGGCTTACAGGACTATCAACCTTTACCGGTCTGCCATCTCGGCGATTTACCAAGGCTTCGATGGATGCCCCGCGGGACAGCACCCCTTAGTGTGCCGACTCCTCAAGGGCTCTCGATTCTCACGACCACCCAGGCCTCGCTACTCCACGACCTGGGATGTCTCCGTTGTGCTGGCCCACTAACTCAGGGCTCTCCCTAAAACAGCTATCAAATTGGTTTGCCTGCTCTGCCTCATCTCATGCAAGAGGGTCTCGGATGTCAGAGCCCTGGATTTCGACGCCAGGTCATATACCCCGGACGGGGAAACATTCAACATCAGCCGGCGGACTAAGACTTCTATCAAATCGGTATCCTACCCTAGCTTCCCTACCTCTCCGTCACTATGTCCAGTGGCCTGCCTACGCGAATACGAAACTCGCACCAACTCTCATAGCTCCGCCACCTCTCCACAGTTATTCTTATCATTTCATCCCCCTTTCCACCCGGTTTCTAGCACAACCTTGTCACGATGGGTGAAATGGCTGTTGTCCCAGTAAGGTATTGATACCACGGTCTTTGGCGCCCATTTGGTCCGGGGGGCCTCAGCCTCTTCGATGATGACTGCAGGTGCGCGCCTGGAGGACATTATGAGGACGGCCGACTGGTCAAGGGAGTCTACATTCCAGGAGTTTTACTTTCGACCGGCCCCACATACATTCGCTGCGGTAATGGATCAGCTTTAAACTTGCAATATGAGCCTCTGTGTCTTGTTCTAAAATTACATGACTTTGCTATTACATGACGAAAAGTCATGATTTTATTAAAGACACGGAGGCGAGTATTGTCCCATCCTTCTTATTCTTACACAGTTATAATAATTTTTCCCTTCCAAGTTTAATACACGCTACAACACACCACATCGAATGGTTTTGTATGGTAAGTGGGGCCATACTGCGAGAATGATGTTTATGTAACGTAATGGTAAATCACTCTTTTGTGGAACTGTGCATATGTGGGTTATTTCTCACCTGTTTAACTTTGAAACTAGTTGCAAGTATCGACTTTAACCTGTCGGCTCCTATTCCTTTATGTTTTCACAGCTTAACTCGACAAGAAGGCAAGCAGTCATCCGACTTAGGAGGACTCCCCCCGCTGTTATCCGGTGGTCCTATGAATCCTATGGTCAAGCTTCCCAGTTGTTGATGTTCTACCCTCTTCAGTTATAAGTTGTTACCTTGGGACTTTTTTCTCACAATTCCACATTTTACCTTGGTCGCATCTTCAGAAAGAGGGAAATGGAAGGGAAGTGCTGCCTATTATACTGGGACCTGAGCGGGGAGGGGCCTATGTTACTGTATGTTCATTATTTTTTCATTCTGTTTGTATTCTTTGCTGCTATTGGTGGACAGTAAAGAAAGGGATATGCAATACTTGCCTCCGTGTCTTTAATAAAATCATGACTTTTCGTCATATAATAGCAAAATCATGTAATTGTCTAAGTGTAAGTATAACTAGCAAAAGGAAAACTGCATAGGCTACAGGAAGGAAAACAACTCATGTTCCGAACCCCCCTACCTTGATATGGTGAATACTTTGCTACACAGGGAGGCTGGACTGAGCATTCCTCATCAAGAACAATACTGCAAGTTCAGTAGACTAGACCCTTAACCAGAAATCCCATAAAAGTAAAACCATTAAAACTATACTATCTTAGTAGAAGTTGTGTTAATATGTATATTGTGTAATTGTTTATGGCACTTTATACCTATGCTTTATTAAAGAAACATTCCACACATCACAACCACTCCAGTGTGCTGTACTTGCCATGATTATTATTATTATTGCCATTTATATAGCGCCAACAGATTCTGTAGCGCTTTACAATATTATGAGAGGGGAGATGTAACTATATATTGGACAATTACAAGAAAACTTACAGGAACAATAGGTTGAAGAGGACCCTGCTCAAACGAGCTTAGAGTCTAGGCCAGGAGTATCATGGCATATCCTTCCCAAACAATTTTAGAATGTTTGACATCTAGGTTATGCTCCCCACTTCCACAAATTACGAGATGGAGAGTCTTAAGCAGGACCTTCTGTTTGCTCTCCTGAGTGTAACTCTGCAGTCAAGGGCTAGTTCACTGGTTGAGAGCACCCGCTGATCACTCTCTGCCAATGGTCTAAGCCCTGCACAATCAGGGTTTGCTCAGATAGAGCAAACTCTCTGTCTGAAGTAGTGGTGGAGCCGAGTGTACTTCAGGTAAGGAGTTGAACCATTCTAAGCTAGAGCATTGCTGCCTCCATAACTACCAAAGAGCATGGTAATGGCTAAGGTGCTTAGAGTGTTAGTGTAACAGTCTTTTTTATGCTGTTGAATACTTAAGAACTGTTGGACCCATTCAGTGTTATTTACTAAAGTGAGAAATGTCGAGAATTTAAAGTGGATATAAAATTTAAGGCCAAATTAGCCAAACTAGAAAAATTATTCAAGTCAGCTCTGCTACCTGTTCAGCTACGAAAGCATTGCTAAATAGGATATTTTTCCAGTTCAGTTATTTTGACCTTTGAATTCACTTTCAATTCTCACTGTAGTGAAGAACCCTGCATGACTTTTAATATGAAATCCACTTTGAGATCCAAACAATAATGCTAATTTGTGCACATTGCTCTATTTATGGTAGCTGCCTTTTTAAGCTCCTAATCACCTGTATTCAAGCACTTTCCCTCCTGTGAACAAGGCTGTATTCAGCCAATTGGCACAAAATATGTCAGACACTGCACTCCATGTGTTGTCTTCATCATTTATAGACGGATCAATAAAGGTAACTTTAGAATATTGAGTTGAGGCTTTTATGGTGTTCCCAGTAAGGGGTCTAGTGTGATGGCTTTTAAAAATAACCAGCACTCATCTTGCATGTGACACGGTACACTGACTGATTTAAATTTATAGTCCAATAAAAACAGTCATCATGCAAACAAGAAAATAGGAGAAAAATTCTACGACTTGCCTCTTGATTTCACATTTAGATGGTCCTTTCCTTTCAAAATGCACAGAGCACATTCTGTATTTCCTATTAGAATGATCATTGCTGTACCAGTTCATTTATATGTATGTACCAACAGATATCTCCAGAATGGTCAACCTTAACTGTCAGTATTGAGCAGACCTGAATATGAATATATGTCAGAAGAAAAATTTCCAACATAAAGAAACAAATGGTGAGATCTTTTTTTTCCTTTTTTTTTTTTTAAACTTGCTGTCAGATTTTGTTGAATGATCAACTGAAATCAGTCAGTATACCTACTTACAGGCAAGTTTCAGAGCTAAACATTGATTATACTTACACAAAGACTTCATATTTTAAAGTTGAACTATCACATAGATGAGTAGTGCTTAGAAAAGAAACTGAGCATCACCGTGTACATCTGCCCTCCATGTATGTGTAAGCTTAATCACTATTTTTTGTTGGTAATATATTAGATTTTTGGCATTTGCTTTTTTGTTTTTGTTTTGCAAATAACAAATAGCTATTTATAGAATACACTATCCAGCTGAATTCGTTTTGTTAATTTGGTGCTTATTTTGGGGCACTAAGACATTAAAACCCATCTATGGTTACTTAAGACTTTTTGGGGGGATACATCCTTGCTTTCACTCGCCTCTTTTCTATGTATGTTATTGTGGATTTGTAGACATTGGCAATACAGACTCGCATATTATTTTTTCCTATTATAAAGTTACATATTTATTCATCCAATTTTCTTTATAGATTTGTTCCCCTATGTCCACTATTCCGTCTGAATATTGGAATCTTAATGGAACACTTTGGGCATCATAGGGGTGTCATCTCAAAAAAAGTAATTATGCAGCCTAAATGGCAACAGTAACACTTAACTGGGAAATTGGAAGAGTCTAAGAGGTTTTTTTTCTGCTAAATTTCTTATGTAGTCTTCAAGAAGAAAACAGGACTTCTCAAATCCTGCCAAGCCAAAAAATATTGAGCAGTGATATGCACAGTGATACATGATATGCACAGTGCTCTCATTCAAAACAAAAGGAAGGCCAGCGTTGGAAAAATCAGTCAATCCATGAAGAAGAGAATAAATTATGACAGAGACAGGTGCAAAAGATGTGCAGGTGCCAGAGTGGCAATATTGCTTTGAGTGTACTTTAAACACTGTTTTAAAAGATATGAAAAAAATAAAAACAGCAGTCATAGAATAGATTATATTATTTCTGTTTTTAATTTGCATGAACGAAAATGCATACCAATTTATACATTTTAAGTCTGATAGCAGCACATACATACAATAAAAATTCATATATTTTCATGTCTGAATGTTGATTCTGTATTATGATACACACTTTTTCTTTACACAAACAAGAAAAAAATGGAATTATAGCAGAATGAATGCAATATCACGTATAATGGAGAAGGAAGAACAGTTAAAATAACAGCAAAACAGAAAAAAAGACAAAAAAACACCATATTTCTTCAAAGAGGAAAATAAAATAGATCATATATAGAGCTAAGACTTGATTAATGTTAGTGCAAATTAATATGTAGAAAAAAAAGTAAATTATCAATTTTCTAGCCTCGTTTTGGCCAGTTTTAAACAATTGACGTTACTGACAATGTATTGTCAGAAGCAACCAATTCTGAGATTATAAAGATGGCAGTCTAACCTTATAGACTGGGTCAAGAAACACCAGCATAGTAGTCATTAAGATTTATATAGACTTTAAGCAGTTATTGATTTGCTGCAGAGTATAATCTGCATATAGATATAATCTATAAATAGATCTGAATCAAGACATGTCCATAATCACAATGCTATATTAAATTTGCTGAACTTAAAACTAGAGCTAAAAGGCAATACAATCTTTTTAATATCTTGGTAACATTCACAAAATGCATGAGGATTCCAAAACTGATGACATTTTAATATACAGTGAAAAAAGACTGTAGAAAAAACATAACGGAAAAACGGCAAAAACAACAAGACAATAAAAACCAGGGCAAGCAATTTTACCTTTCACTGGCATATTTTGGACAACGAGGCTCATTTCAGATATAGCTGAAAATCTGCCACAGACTGCTGAGGATGGCATTATTCCTCATATGGTACAAGAGAACGGAACATCCGGGTATTTTTAAGATAAAGTGCATCTGTAATGCACTTATTAATGCACCTTAAATGCAATAGAAAGTTGTCATCTGTAAATGTTTCTAGTCAGGTGGCTAGGATATGCAAAGACGGTGAATTATAGGTGTTTTATGACCTTCTGTGAGATTAGAAAAATCCTGCTGACACAGAAGTCTTTGAATATGGAATAAACAAAACCTCAAATTGTGCTGTGCTGGAAGTCAACAAAACTTCAAATTGTGGCATGCCACAAATCATAGAATTCACCCACATGACAGGATTTGTGGCAACAAAGAAGAGAAACCAGGCAGCACTCCAGGATAATGAAGGTAAGTTTATTCGTGGGTTCATCACCTCACTAAAAAACCAGTGCGACGTTTCGGCAGATTCACTTTAAAGTTAACAATTTTGTGGCACCATCACCATGTTGCAAGTTAAACTATTGTAAAACGGTTTATAGACAAATATAAATGTCTGTTTATATCAAACTATTAAAGGGACAATCCAAGGCAGAAAATGTATCACCTTTATTATTAACCTGCATTGTTAAAATGTAACACACACAGAGTTACAAGCCACGTAAAATACAATAAATAGCTACCTTGTTGTTGCAGGTTAACAGCAGCTCCCAGGGTGTGATCCACCCCCTTTTGTAACAAGGAAGTGTCATTATATTCTAGTCAATTCTGTTTCTCCAATTCACTTGAACCAGAGGAACAGGATACTTTACTGAGAACAGCTTCTATGTATAACTTCACACATGCACATGCCACACGCCACACAGGGCTCCCATTCATCTGTCCGACGAACACTGCAACAACGTTACGTGTATTGCTAGTTGCATCACTTCCAATTGGAAGTGAGAGAAAAGGTAGTGTTTATATATACGATGCAAAACATCTAAATTGTTATTTTTCTTTATACATTGTCAGATGTGTGTGGAGTGTCTCTCTAAGAATACAACTTTTTAGTAAGTAGCTAGGTTTCTCTTTAATTAGCAATACCTACAAAGAAATACATTGTAAATTAATACCCTATCAACCCTGACAAACTATTTAACAGCTAAGCAGAAACCCAAAACAAAAACTCAAACTAAAGTTTTTAACCTGGAGAAAGTAAGCACGGATAATAGGTTAGACAAGCAGAAGAGGAGTAGAATTGACAAAATTACCTTTTATGCACGACTAAAACTACGTTATATAGGATTGACATAAATAGAGGAAATGCATGATTGTGTCCCTATTGGGAATATGGCAGGTCAGAACAGAGGGCCAAGGCTGGACACTACTCCCCCTGGTCTGACCAAGACATGAGTCCTACAACATGTAGTTTCTGTGGCAGGTCTGGAGTGTTACCCTGTATAAATAGCATTCCACCTAGAAAACCAAACAGATTGGCTGAGAGAGCTATATTATAGATTACATTTTCTAAGAATAATTATAACCCATTGATCTTTTTTTAATACGGTCAATCTAACTCAATCTAACCTATTAGAGCAGACGATGACTGATATACAAAGTATTTCATTCAATGACCCAACATTGTATTTGCTAAATGAGTCCATTCTGGTTGCTGGGTTGTGACATACAGTAAACGCACCAGATCAATCGCCATGAGGTTAATTTTCGTCACTCTATAGCAGACACAAAAAGACATCTGTGCACTGTGCCATTTCTTAAATAAAACGACTGACAACATACCTACAGAAAACAAAGACAGCACTCAATGAGAGGTGTAGAATTGTTCGTTTTGAAGGAATCAAGTTATTGGATTGTTTTGGATTAATGTTCGTTAACTGGAAAATATTTTTTTCAGTAGCTAGAGAATAAACAATACAATTATGTTAACTTGGTAAAATCACTAAATATCAGTTGTTACGGCATTACATATCATATGTAATGTAACCCAACTAGTAGAACATATATTTTTAACAAATAGAACAAGGATTCTGCATGTTCTCAGTTAATTTGGACTGGTATGATATATGTACATTAAATTGCGTACAATATATATATATATATATATATATATATATATATATATATATAAACAGAGGGAATGCCGGCACTCCAAGGATTTTCAAGTTATTCTTCTTTATTAAAAATGACATCAACGTTTCAGCTCCATTACGGAGCTTTCATCAGGACATGGCCATGAATGAAAGCTTTCCTGATGAAAGCTCTGTAATGGAGCTGAAACGTTGATGTCATTTTGAATAAAGAAGAATAACTTGAAAATCCTTGGAGTGCCGGTATTCCCTCTGTTTATATTGCTAAGCAACCAGAGCACCAGATACCATTATTTCTTGGCTGGAGTGCAAGGGCTTTTCATTTTGTATATATATATATATATATATATATATATATATATATATATACATATATACATACATATATATATATATATATATATATATACACATATACACATACATACATATATATATATATATATATATATATATATATACATACATACATACATATATATATATATCTTTGCATACATAAACAGTGCTCTCTTTTCCTGCCATAAGAGACAAAGAAAAGACATACACACCATAAGTGTACAGAATAGTGTATTTAGCACAAACATCCTCAAAAGCAATGTCTAATGATGGAAGCCCAATGTAATAAATCCCTTTCCAAACATAATTCTGAATGTTCAACATGTACAACAATTAAATAGACATGACTGCAAACAAAAAAATGTCATTAAGGCTCATGTACTTCCTTAAAACTAAAAACGGTCAAAGCAGCATATGAAATAGTAATATACTTTTCCAAAATTTGCAAAGTCCTGCACAAACAGGATTAAGAAGTTCATGTTGTTCTCAACAAATCCAATCTATGCTGGATATGTAAAAACAGGACATCACATAGATTACACATGAAGTCTTAATGAAAGCATAGGCAAATCTCAGAAAAATTTGTCATCGATCCTGAAGTGTGGCCTGGTTACATCATCAGGGTTGATGAAAACAGAGATAGACTTTCCAGGGTTCTCAGTCACTAGCTGCTGTAATTTTTTGGCTAATCGATCATCCGGTTGATTATTATCTCCTCCGTCAGACTGAGGGGATGGTATGCTAGTGGTACTTCCTCTCCTTTGAAGATCTAGAGTAAGCCGGTTAGCTGCCTTGACATGTTCTATGGCCGTCCGCAGATGTTCTGCAGGATCTGATCTCACAGATGATAGCTTTCTAGCATGCAACATGACCGTCTCCTCTGAAAGATGCTCAAGCATATTACATTGAGGAATGAAATAATTGGGACACATTTTATTGACTAAACAATTCTGCAGATCATCAATAAGTCCCAATAGAAAATTAGCTGCATAATCTTCTTGAGACAAGTAATTAGCCGGAAGTCTATCACAAGCCCAGAGCATCATACTGCGCAGATGGTATGGACTTATAGCTTTTGGTCTTGATAAAAGCTTGATGATTATAGCTTTACAAGCTTGATAAGCTTGCATTAAACTACTGGATATACACTTCTTTAGCTGAACTTCACTTCTGGCAAATGATAACCTCCATTCATTATCCTTTTTCCCCTTAAACGAACAAGCTGGGACTAAGTAAAACCCACTAATGACTTCTTCTTCTGTAATTTTGCCATCCCAAAAATGGTTTTCCATAAGCCAACTCTGAGCTACAGCTGGCCACCCTTTGAAAGAGACCACAGGAACAATATCATACATCATGCGGCTGCTACCAACTCCCAAGATTATAGAAATGATAGTGCCATTCTTTTCCACCTTCTCAACCTTGGGCATTCCACGCTGAGGTTTCTTCTGAATTTCTGACAATACAATGCTGATTGACTCGTGGAACCAATCAGCAACTTTTGTGGGTGAAAAGAAATAGTTAGTAGCCCCATTGATGTGGTCTACAATTGTGCAGCAGTCTTTCCACTTTGCAATAGTTCCCTCGTCAAACAATCGAAGGCTTAGCCATGAGTGGCAAAGAGCTGAGTGGCGCATATCCAGAGTTACTGGCTGGTTTCTATCATGAAGCTTTAGAGCTGGCACAAGTAAAGTGAAATCCATGTCATAGTCTGTTCCACGAGCATAAACATTTAGTTCATCCAGATCAAGGTCCACAACTCCTTCTCGTACACCTCCAGACAGCAAGAGATACTCATTAGCTACCGGCAGCTTCTGGTCTAGTTTTTGCACCATTCCTGCAATAGACAAGAAGAAGAGTAATGTAAATTCTTTTGCACAATAAGTATACGTTCAGCTTATTATTAAGAGATAAGAGGATATGCAGACATGTGTTTTTATTTGGTTTAATATTTTACCACTCTAACTTTGTTTGAAAACTATTTTGGCTCATAACAAGATTAAGTATAATTTATGTTCACAAATTGCATTGAACAAGATTTTAAAGATTTAAAAAGAAATATAATAAATACAAAGGGAGTATCTGTGTACACATATTCTGACTTTGCAAAGTCTACTTGTGAAAAATCCTACCCAGTTTGTTACTCACACTGGTCTTTGCATGTCCAAGCTCCCCCAAGTGGTGGACCCTGAGAAAATGTCAGTTTATTGAAATGCTCAGTGTGTACCTGGTTTGTGTAAATGTAACAGCTCCAGTGGACTAACAATGTTACAAATACAATCTTACCAACTTTAACATTATATCAGACAATTGTATTGATTAAGCATATGATAGTGTTTGCACTGAGGGACAATTTCACTCATGTTGCTGAAAAGCTTTTCATTGACTCTGCCTGGCTGCTTTAAAAATAAAATTGGGTCTTTCAATACTTTGGCTACTTGAGCCAGGAAAACCAGAGGTGTCTCAAAACCACTATTCGAGAAGTACTAGTTTTTTTAAATGATACTTATCTTTTCAGTGGTCAGTGTCAGATATAACTATTTACTGCTACCCAGCTAACAGGCAAAATGTACATTCATATTGTATGTTTGATATAAAAATTTTTTTTTAGGGCCAGTGGTATATTGATTGCTTTAAAGTTACAGTTTAAGGGTTGGGCCCTGGGTGACAGACCGACTGTATGTAAGAAACCTCACCTGCACTCAGAGGGTTAAGCCATGCACTTTGCTATCAATCACCGATGTAGACTCGGTGGCACTGCTGATTTAGACCTTTTACAGGCAGTTTGAAACAGTGCTATGCAACGCCAGCATCGGTAGATCAATGTCAGGGTTTTTTTTTTTTCCTAGTTTCAGTTTGAGCTTTTAAATGTCAATTATAAAATTCTTAAACTGGGTAGGCGATCGATTTAAAAGAACCTAAATGCATTAAAAGTAACTGATGCTAATGGCCATACTTCCTCAACTTAGCGTTTAATATATTGTTTATTAGTTTACCCCACAATCCATTTATATTTTGAATTCTACCCATAAACTGTACATTTAGCCACTGAACACATCAATAAAACAAATGATGGAAGGGAGTCAGCCAATCATAGTGTGGTCTTGGATAACTGTAGATTGCAAGTTTATGACCCTTCAGTGATACCAATTAGGTGAAGCATTATATAAAGCCTAATAGTTATGAAAATAAATATAATCATAAATGTCTTTTAAGCTGATTAAAAAAAAAAGTCCTGTCCACAAAAGCAGTATCCTAACCCCACCTGTATGTGGGGGGCACTGCATTTCTGCTCAAAGCAAAATATCATGAAATTGTCTATCACATGCAATGCATAAATGGTAATCCCATTGTATTTCAATATGGCATGCAATGTTTGCAAAAGAGAACAATTATTTTTTTAGCTAAATACATTTTTGGAGCAACATACACTGAGTTAAAATGATCAATTAAATGAATAAGTAACTATTCAACAATCCATATGAAAAATTGCAGAAAATGAACCATACAGTTAGATGCAGCTATGAAAAAAGCAACGCACATGCAAGATGTTGCATTTTGTCACCATTAAATGACCTGCACAATATGTGTTTTTAAAATTATTTACCTAATTGCCACAAATGTAATTTTCTTTTTTCAAATTTGGTAGTGAACATGTTAATCCAAAATGGAAGTACAAAACTTGCAATGTGGCTTAAGCCACTGTAATGTATAAAGTTTTTTTGTTTGTTTGTTTTTTTACTTAAAATGCAAATCTCAGGTTAAAGGAAAGAAACAAGAAACAAAGAAGCCCAAACTATTGTCTTACCAATTAATCATAACAAATGTGATATTAATGTTGTGTCTATCATCCCACCACCAAGTCTCTACTTTTGAAAGATTCTTTAACACTCCACTACCAAATAAAATAAACAAATCACTGTTTACTAGATATACCCCAAATGAAAACATGCATACATTTAATTATGCATTTTTATCATTGGGGCTATATCTAAAGACAGCTTGAAAAAGCAGCAGATCTCTTGTCTGAAGCCTTTGCAAGCCCTCCCCTTCTTACCCTGCCAAGACTTTCTGTGGCTGTCCAATGACAGACTTCCCAATGCAGCTCAATGAGAAATCTTTGTAAGGCACGTGCACTGAGAAATTGATGCCTCTTGAGTTTTGATCTACTTAACTAAAGAAACCAAGAAGTAACAGGATCTGTGGTCTGCTTGAAAGCCAGGAAGGCATAACAAGATTAATTTATAAAACTGCCAATTTCTATAGAAATATTCACTTTTTGTAAAATGAAAAATGAGGAGACCCTCTACACACATAAAGCACATCAGCAAGCTAAGGTGCTGTATGGGTCCGGAGTGTTCATTTAACACAGTGGTAAAAAAAATAGTATAAGCATTAAGACACGATATGAAAAACAAACAAAGCAAAAACCAACAGTAAATGAAAAGTATATGTAACCCATAAAGATTTAAAGGAACACTATAGTGTCAGGAACTCAAATAAGTATTCCTGGCCATATAGTGTTAAAACCCCCATCTAGCCCACCCCTAAATATGGCAAAATCTTACCTTTATTTCAGTCTGTTGCTGCTGCCTCTCCTCCTGATCTGCCTGCTTGGCTGACATCATCAGTATTGATTCTCTCAGCCAATTACAATTCTTTCACATAGGAAGATCAGGGG